CCGTTGTACATTTACATATATGTATATATACATATATATATAGATATATCAAACTTTTGCGCATTTACGTACGTACATAGATACATATGTATATATATATATATATATATTGTGCATACGAAAGTGAGGTCGGCTTGTGGACTGTAAAATACCTGGAACTCGTATACACGTAGCCCACTGGCACAGATTCGCACGGTACGCGAAGATTTTGCAACGTGAAACGACCCTCGTTAATCGCTGACGCGGCCACGATGCTCGGCAACCGACAACGCGTTCTTGCGCTTGTATTTGTGCTTAAATGCATATATGTGCGCGCGCGCGCGCGAGAGAGAGAGAGAGAGAGAGAGAAGGGAGGGGTAGAAGGGAGGAGGAGAGGAGAACCTTCGCGAAAACCGTGAACCCAATTTGTTCCAATTTAATGGGCACCGTTAGCCAGCCACAATCGACAATTGTCGGCCTTCCTAGACGATTATCATAGACGAATATAATTTTTTTTTCTTATTATTTTCTTCCTCGCCTTTTATTTCCTCGTACTTATTCTCCCTCTTCTTCTCTCTCTCTCTCTCTCTCTCTCTCTCTCTTTCTCATTTCCTTTCTCTCTCTCTCTGTTTTTTATTTTCTATTTTTTATTTGTCAATTTTAATTTCAATTTTTTTTTTTCTTTTCTTTTCCGTTTAGAAACGCGTGGACTTAAAAATAATATATACTCAGTGGTTGAACCGCCAATGTCGTCGTTACGATTTTATTATTATAATAATAATAATAATAATAATAATTATTATTATTATTATTTTTATTATTACAATCTCAAGGATCCGTTATTGCCACGATTATCTATACATATATTTTTTTTTTCTTTTTTTTCTTTTTTTTTTTTTATTCGGAATCCGATGAATTTCGTAATGACCGTGACAATCCTCATTTGAAAACATTTAATCATTATTTATAGACGTTATATTCTTCGAGAAAAGGAAAGGGAAAGAGAGAAAGAAAAAAAAAAGAAAAGAAGAAGAAGAAGAAGAAGAAGAAGAAGAAATAAAAAATATTTGAACGTTTGGACGTTTCGTTCCTTACGAAATATCTACCGCGTGCCTACTTACATCAACAAGGTCTTCTTATGATTCTTTTCTTTTTATCTTTTTTTTTTTTTTTTTTTTTTTTTTTTTTTTTTTTTTTTTACGTATGTCCTTCACCGCGAAGTTAAATGAGGAATCATCATTTCTCGTTCTTATGTATGACGACTTTAAACAGTTAAGACTTTAAGAAGAATCCCCATTGGTTAGGTGTGAGTTAGTCGTAGTGTCTCTCAAAGTTAAAAATTGAAAGAGACGTTCGTTTTATTCGCATGAGACGAATGATTTACGAGCTCTCGTCACGGTGGGCAGGCAAGGGAGAAACGAGCCATCTTGAAAATTTATGTTCATCGGCATAAAGAGATTCGTGAAAACCGCATAGCCATAAAATTTGGCCGCAAATCTCCCCGGTCTCCTTTCAAGCCCGTCGCCACCCACGTTCCCGTCTCCCCAGACCACCCCTCTCCACCCTTCTTTCTGGTTACCATTCGACTACTGTCGTCGCTCGTAAATCGTTTACTTGACGTGGTTGTCGTCCGTAGACAGTTAGTTCGTACGCGTTAGGTGTAAACGACAAGGAGTAGTAAAGTAAAGTAAAGTAGAGTAGAGTAGAAGTAGAGATAGATAAAGATACGGAAAATTTCGCGTGGACCAAATAAATTTCTCATTTATTTCCTTCGTACAGATGGATATAAAAAAAAAAAAACAAAGAAAGAGAAAAACCCTCCTACGAGTATGTACAATTTCGTTGGGATTTAATAAGGGAAGAAAAAAAAAAAAAGGAAAAATGTTAAAAGTGAGAGCCGACAAATAATTGAAAAAATCAAGGGGGGAAAAAAAAAAGAATAGTCATCGTTCGTTATTATTATTTTTCTCGGAAATTTTCCAAAGAAAAAAAAAAAAAAAAAAAGAAAAAAAATTATTGACAATTCTCCCAAATAGACAGAGAGGCAAATTCTTAATCGAGTTAATTAGACGAGAACCGATGCGATTAAAAGATTCGAAGAAATAACTAGTAGAATACAGTTAGAGCGGTAGAATTTAGTCTCCCTCCCGTTAGACGTTCCTGGCCGTTGATACCACGTGACATACGATGTATGTACGTCGATTCGATGTTGAGGCAGGTCAGGGGAGAGATGCTTAGAGAGCGTGTTAGATTACGTTAGATCCAACCGTTAACAAGCGGTGCTAGCTAGCTAACTTGCAACCGGTTAACGTAGCACGGTAGCACTACGTCTCTCTCTCTCTCTCTCTCTTTCTCTCTTTATTCCATTCTAGTATACCCCCACTTTTGGAATTTCAATTCTTTCTCTCGCTCGCTCTCTCTTTCTCTTTCGTTCTTTCACCTGGGCCGAGGCTATTTTTCGTCGACTCAAACCACGTTACCACGTGCGGTATCAAAGCGTAGGTGTAAAATGCGACAAGAGGAGCGCGTTTTGAACGGCTTTCACTCTCTCCGAGTGTTGCTGAGTCAACGATGGGAGATAATTTATTCCTTGATTTTGTATCACCCCTGGACAACGTTGTATTCCACGTGCATTACATACATACAGAAAACAAATATTATACATACATATGTATATATATATATATATATATATATATATATATATTTTTTTTTTTTTTTTCTTTTTCTTTTCCATACGAATTTTATTCTTTCTCCTTCAGTTGAGATTATTGAACGTTTTATGTATCGCAAGAAAAAGAGAAAAGAAAAAAAGAAAGAAAAAAATGTTGACG